CCCGGGCAGGAGCATCCCAGCCCCTTTATGTGAGCAGGGACCTGCCACCTCAGGGGTTTTGTTGTCCCAGAGGTTGTCCTGTCTTCTGGAATAATTCCCGTGTCCTGTCTGGAGGTGTGGGGAAGGGTGGTAGTGTCCCAGTGGAGGGCAAAAGTAACCGGTCCCAGCTGGGGGTGCCCCATTCGGGGTTTGGATTCCCGGGGGACCCCGGCGAGCTGCAGCCCCGAACGCCGCCGGCGGCGTTCGGGGCTGCAGCTCGCCGGGGTCCCCGGTGGGACAGGGGGTCACGGAGCGCAACCTTACCTTGGAGGAGCCTCTACGGGAAAGGGATACGGGCCCCAGCTTAGGATGCCCCGGTCCCGGGAGAGCTGCAGTAGTGGAGGCAGGGGATGCGGGGATGGGGTGGGATGGGATGGATGGGATGGGGTGAGGTGGATGGGATGGGATTGGGTGGGATGGATGGGATGGGGTGGGGTGGGATGGATGTGGTGGGGGGGATGGATGGGTGGGTGGTCTGGGGGCTGCGGGTCCCCCCGCTCTCAGGTGCGGAGACAATAGCCAGGGCTCCTGTTGCAGCTGCAGACTGTCTCTTTAAACCCCTCACCAGCCCACAGGTGGCCCTGTCACCACCGTGGTCATCCATGACGTCATCGGGAGGGAGGGAAGGGGAGGAGGAGGAGGAGGAGGGGGGAGAAACGCGATCCCCCTCCACAGCAAAAGTCCCCGAGCGCCCATGGCAACAGATTGCAAATGTCACTGCGCATCAGCCGGGAGGAGGATGCCGGGCTGCCCCCCCCCCCCCCCCGGGTGACACGGTGGGGACAGGGCTGTCACGCCACGGGTGGCACTGGGGAGGCAGGGCTGTCACCCCCACGAATGGCATGGCGGGGACAGGGCTGTCGCCCTGTGATGGGTGTACGGTAAGGTATAGGGCTGCCGCGCCACGGGTGGCGCGGAGGGGACAGGGCCGTCATCCTGTGGTGGGGGCACGGGAGGGGACAGGGCTGTCACCCCAGGCAGGGAGCTGGCTGTGGGCTCTAAGCAGGTGGGCAGGTCCAGCTCTCACCACGGGCCGTGGAGCAGCTGGGTGCCCCCCCCAGCCCGGACACCCCGCTGCGGGGGTGGGCGCTGCTGTCCCCCCCAGCCCCTACCCGTCCCCTGTGCTTCGGGGATCCTCGATACCCGGTGGTGGCACCCAGCATAAGCCGTCCCCATGGGCGCCCCGGAGGACCAGCTCCTGCTCCTGGGGTCCTGCCTGCGCTCTGCCCCCGCAGCAGGGCATTTTGCAAAGGCCAGGAGGGTTTTGGAAGGTGTTTAAAGCAGATCTTGCCTTCGAGCAGAGACAAGACAACCCCGGGAGCAAGAAAAGGGGGGCCCAGTCCCGCAGCCCCAGACCCACAGACCACATCCCGATTGTGGTGATCCCATTAACCCTCCAAAACTCGCCCAGTTCCACTTCAAAAAGAGCCTCTGGCACCGGTTAAAACCAGAGCAAGGGATGCTTTGATGGCAAAGAAAGGTTTCCTTAGTGCTGCTAATGTCCGTGGGTGTTGCAACCTGCAAACTTGGCTTTGACGGAGCCCGATCCCGGTGAGACCTGCCCAGCGTGAGGAGAGGGGCTGCAGCTCCCACTGGGGAGCTGTGAGTCACGGCCACGGTGGACAGGACCTTTTCATCCCCTTTATAAAACCGTGTGTGAATGTGTATGTGCATTCCTATGCAAGGGGACCCCAAAAGTCTCCATACGTGAATGAAATCACCCCCCAGGCTTGGGGAAGAACTAAATATTGAACTACATCCTTGTTTTCTTGGAAAAATGAGAGACATCCAAGGTTTCCCTCTGCTCCCTTTGCTCTTTTCTCACACCAACAAGAGTTTCCCTGGCTGAAGTTTGGCGCTACCATCACTAGGATGCTTCAGTTAAAAAAAACCCCATGGAGGCAGCCGGTTCCTGCAGAGTGGCCACACTCAGCCCCACACACAGCAGGGCTCGGGGAGTACAGAAGCACCACCTAGGGCTGAAGCATTCCTCCCCATGCTAGGCTCTTGTGCAAACTTTACTCTTTTTTTTTTAATATTAAAAAAAAAATCGTTTATTCTTTTTTCCCCACCCTCGGCACAACAGGGAAGTTGACAGTGACCTAGCTCAGTGGCCATGGGAGGGGGATGGCGATGCTCTGATGCTCAGGACCTGGAGGGCTTTCTTCCTCTGCAACCATCCTTGCGAGGAGATGGCCCAGCTTTTCCCCACACCTATTTTGTGCTGGGGTTAGTATTTGCCTCGTGGGGCAGCCAGTAAGGGAGCAGCCCACCCCTGCGATCTCCCCAGCACTGTTCTCCTTACACACCCTCTCTAATCCCGGGAAAGCAGCTGCAGGACCCAGAGCCGGGAGGCTCTTGGTAAACAGCCAAAGCAAGAACAGCAGAAGGGTCATTGCTTCAGAAAGAGGAGAAATCATCAAAACCAGTTTGAATAGGCCGCGATTTATTATTTTCTTTTTTGACCCACCTGCTGGCTCTGGAGAAACAGGCTGGAGGTGGATGTGGCACTAGCAGGGTGGTGGTGTTTGTGATACCGCTCTGGCGCTGATGCTTACAGTGAAGGCAGGGAGCATCCCGCTCCTCGGCACACTGCTAAAGCCTAGGTAAGAAACTGTCCCCCCTGGGGAAGAATGACTCGTTTTTGTAGGAAGGGACACACTCGAGGCCATTTTTTGTGGGACAGGGGGATTTGCACAGGGGAGCAGCTGGAGTGGGGAGCCGAGAGCTGGACAAGGGATTAATTGGGTGAGGGAACCCTGACCACCCCAGCTGCCTGGCTGCAGGCTCTGACCTGGGAAGAGCAGGGATTGCCTTCCAAACACCACTTCTTCCACCAAAACCAGCCCAATGAGACCCAAAGCCATGGACCTGCAGCTGCTCTGAGAGGCTGGAGGAGCCCAGCAACCCACTGGACCAGCCCCCAGGAACCTCTGTACCCATTCCCAGTAACCTCTGTACCAGCCCCCAGCAAATCCCATGACAGTCCCCAATAACCTCCATACCAGCCTGCAGCAACACCCATACCAGCCCCCAGTAACCCCTATAGCAGCTCCCAGCAACCCCCATACCAGACCCTATACCAGTACCCAGTGACCCCTGTACCAGCACTCTGGGCTCTGGGCTGGGGGTCACCATCTCCCCCTGGCCTGGGGATGTGTGGAGGGGCACCCCACCTCCCCGCTGTCCCCCAGCAGAAGAGGATGGGGCAGCCACATGTGCCCCAGTGCTGGACGCCCGAGGGGCAGCGTGAAATGCTGCAGCAGGTGGGAAATTGCGCCTGGTTAAACATCCCAGGAGCCCTGAGACTTCAGCATCCATCTGGGGGGGGGTCTGGTCCTGTGACACCCCCACGTCCTGCCTCCTCCCAGGCCAAAATAAGTGGGGACTAACTTTGCCTCCAGCCTTGTGCCCGTGATGAGATTCATTGCACACGATGCAAATCCCTGCCGATGGATGAAACCACTCCAGCGAGAGTTCCCCGACCCCCTCCCCAGCACTGAGGGGGCCGCAGCCACGGGAAGATTGTGGTGATGAAGTTATTAGCTCCGGAAGCACTAATTGCTGCTGTATTAATGGCTCTTTTGTCCGGCGAGCTGTTTTTCAGTGTGTGTGTGCCGGGCGGTTGTTTTTCTGCCAGCTGCTGTGTGGTTGGATGCTCTATGGTATTTAGTTTGATCCTATTAAGGTGGATCTCAATTAATTAGGCAGGAGGCAGAGAGACAAAGAGAGACGCTGGGGCCATTCATTTTAGTCTTGTCATCGTGCCTTCTGCAGCTGGGAGGCAGTGGGAGAGCAGGAAGGGACATGGGATACGGCTGCTGGGCATGAAACTGCTGGGAGAGGGGAATGGGGCAGGCAGGTGGGGTGGCAGCGGGGTTCCCCCGAGGGTCCCCCGGTCCCCCAGGGTCCCCTGCCAGGCAGGTTGCCTTCCCCCAGCCCCACGGGAAAGCAGCTGGAGCCACCCAGGTCCCACCCCCTGGGGTGGTGGGGTCCCGCTCCACCCCACTGTCGATGGGACCCTAAAGCATCCCCCGAACCACATGGAGGATCCCTGGGAATTTCAACAGCGAGAGCTTTGGCACAGCAGGAGCATCCTCCCTCCATGCCGGTGTGACGCCGTCTGGGTGCCGCTGCCGCATCCCTTTGGGGCCACCCACCCCCTGGGAAGGGGGTGCGCCCCGGCGGGCTCTCCAGCACCCCACTTGGAGCATCCTGCCGCCTGCCCCCTAGTCCTGGCTCCCATGCCCACCGGTGACGTGGCTCCAAGCGCCAGCGCGGTGGCTTGACCTCATCGAGAGGCCAGCAAATGGATCTCAAGGGCCCCCTGACATTTCTCCTTCCTTCCCTTTGAAGGACAAGTGCCCCTCGGAGCTGCCCTCGCTGCCTCGGCCGCTAATGCACGAGGCGGGATGTGGGATGCTGCTAAAAGCCCCGGCGAGAAAAAAGCTTTCAAGCCCCCTGGAAAGCCCTAAGGGGTGCCCGGGGGTGACCCCAATCCCTGCCGCTGGTGCCGGGGCTGCGGTGTCGGGGTGCACCCCGGTACGCTGGCTGGCAGCAGGTGTGATGTCCGCTGGGGTGTCCCTGTGTGGGGGCTCGGGGTGCAGGGGGTGCCTGGGGATG